TGGGAAAAATAAAAAAATTATCAATTTTTTTTACCAAGAAAAGTTCAGAAATTTTTTTTTGAGTACTAGATTTTTTTTTGTTTTTCAAAAGTACAATATTAGTTTTTGTTTCAAATATTTGACAAAATTTTAAATTTGACAAAATTTTAAAAAATTGTATTTGTTGTGCTTATTTAAAAAATTTTCGATTAATTATAGGCAGAACGTTCAATAAGAAAAAATTTCAAAAGTAGCTGGAAGACCAGGAACATTCTGATGAATTAAATCGAATATTAGAAATATATAGAATTGAATTTCATAATTTTTGGGAATTTAAACCTAGTTTACATTTACAAAGCATAATTTCAATCATATTCAGCTCATTAAAACAGGTTATGTTTAGTGTTGTGTACCTATGCTATCATAAGTCTTTAGTATGAATACTTTTGTGGTGGCTAAGCAATGAAAATCCATTTAAGAAAAAATAATTTTAACCATCAAATGATTATTTTGCTGTCATAACATAAACTATCACTTTTGAAACAGTAAAATGATGTGCCACAATTTCAACTTATTATAATAATATTGTATACAGTACCCACAACACAAGACATTCAGGTACTATTATAATGGCAATTTAACACATCAGGACCTCATTCTTTTTTCTAAAATGATACGAAGCAAGAACCTTCACAACACTCATTCTCGCCTTTTTTTTTCAGTTGCAGTAAAAACGACAGTACTATGGAAGTGAGAAATAAGTTTGAACTACGCACTATTTTATTTACTTCAAATACATACGTTATCTTGGACTTTTATGTGATAATTCATAGGAAAGGAATAGCAAAGAGAACTAGTGTTAATGAAAACAGCAAAATAAACTAAACCATGTAAGCAGTTCTTATGTTTAGTTATTTCAAAATCAATTACGGCACCAACATTAGAAAATAATGAGATAAATGCCCTCGTTCAGCGTAAATTGGTAATTTTAGGCTTCATTGCTTAAATAATCGGATTTCAGAAAGGTTCGAAAAACTAAAGCCAGTAAATCGCAGAAACAACTCTATACAACTCCAAACAGACTTTTCTAAACTAAATAAAATACATGTCAATAAGGCAACAAAGGATAGATGTGATTTAGTTGACAAAAATTCGTACATATGTATATAATTTCGTATTTATTAGCACATGTAAGGGGCCTTATACTATATTCGCTTTCGCTCTCAAAAATGGCACTACCTGCATACACATGTAAATAATTATAGTGATAACGTTAAATTTTAAAATGTTTTAATTAAAATGTTCTTCACAATTTTTCTTTTTTTTTGCATTGATTTTAGAGTATTTTCTACTGAATACGGAAAAAAATTCAACTGGATTTTACAGTCACTCTTTTATTATTCCATTTCCTGTAAATTATGGTGTGTATAGGTGGTGTGTATAAAACGGTTCATTGACGGTGAATAATTATAAAAGAGTGGTAAGAGAACATACAACAAGTTATCTAAATTACGTACTATAAAGAACTGAAACTAAAATAGTATTATGGTACGTGAGAAGCACAGCAAAGTATTGAACTGGAATAAATAGCGCTTAAAATAAATGATTTGGAAGGATGTTAATATTTTTTTGTTTTTTATAAAATGACCTAATTATTCAATAATATTTATTATGAAAATTAAAATCAGAATGCTATTTGCAACATGCAATATATTCGCATTCTAAATTTGTTGGTTTTGCATCATATGAAGTATAAATTATTGTTATAGGTAGTGGAGGCAAATGTGAACTAAAAGAGTAATCCGCAGTAGAAATGCAAAATATAAGCAAAATACGAATTCAATACGGAATGCTTGGTTTTAAATAAGCAGTAAACAAAGTTTTAGTTTTGAGCTGTGTGCATTGCCGGTTTGTTAGGGTAACCAAGTGGCTAGAGATTTGTTTTAAATGCATGCTTAATTTTCTTAGCATATTCATTGGTTATCATAAATATATTAAAGTGCTAAAGAAATGTGCCAGGGAAAACTGGTTTATTAAGCATGTAAGTTACATACTAACATAATATATAACACCATTATTTAATTCACATAACTAATCTGTACAGAGGCTATAAAATGAAGAATTTATTGTATAAAACAAATTTTTCTTATGTGATCTCGCTAAACATCCATGAACCTATAATCAATTTATCTCACTAAACTGTAAGTACGTACAAGAATACTATTATTTAATTAAAAGATTCAAAATCCGTAATATACTTCCGATGAAATTCGTGCTTACATACGTAACATTTATTACAATGTGCAACAGTATAACACTTACCTACTTCTATATAGACGGTATACCAACCAAAGGGCTGCCTATTTATGCGAATGTTAGTCATATAGTAATAATGTACTTTTAAATATTTTATTTTTCCATTTCGTGTATCAAAATATTGTATATGACCACCAAAGTCACATCATTACTTCATACCAAAATTACAGCCACCAGTTTTGTAAGTGATGTAAGTAAATTGCAAATATAGAACACACATACATGGGTATACGACTAAATTGAGTAGATATTTAGTATGGCCATTTAATAAATTGCAAATTTTTGACCTACATAATTATATTAAATTGGATTTGTATGTTATCACTTTTAATCTTTAACACAATACTTCAAAAATTATATATACATACATACATAATTATATTGTAGGTATATTGGTAATAAGTAAATTACAATATTACATTCATACATCTTGTATAACACATATAAATTTGAATACAATCATAGATTTTACAAAAAATATAGTTTCATTACTGCATATATTCTGTAATCATACGTCACATTGTGCATAATTGCATATGTGTTGCATTTATTGTCGTCGCTATAAATGAAAACTTACTAACTCCATTTTTGACTAAAATGAGGTAGATATAACAAAATTAATGATAAAATTTCAAATTTTATGTCAAAAAATGTTGGGAGCTGTACGGTTAGTAGTGACTTATGGGACAAGTCACATATTTAAACAAAAAAATCACCTTAATGAAAACTCACTTATGGCACTTGGATATAAGGTAACAGAATTGGAATACCATCATTTTTTAGATCTCAGTTTATTACCGGAAAATCTAATTAAAAATAGAAAATTTTGTACTAAACAAGAATAAGTAAATGGCTAAAAGTGATATGTTTTAAAAAGGTTCCTCTTTTACCGTTTTTTTTTTTCATAGATGAATGAAATTAATGAATCATAGTTCATTAAGAAATTAAAATTCTTTACCATTCAAAACAGGTACTGGCTTAAATAAACAACTCGCTGACTTTATCAATTAAATTTTAACTTTAAAATTGAAATTATTCAATATGCACTTTTTAGATTTGGTGAGTTTTCATTTAGTGACAATGATATTACAATGCAAGTTTGATGAAAATAATTTTAATAAGTATTTAATATAATTTATTTAGAATTTTACTATTAAAAATTAAACAAAATATAGATGTATAACAGAATTTATATAAATGTATATAAGTTTACAAAATTTAACTGTTATAAGTAATTGATTGTAAATCGTGAATTTTATTACACTGTAAATGTATGTATATTGGTTTGTCTATTGTATTATAATTAAGTCAAAATTTAATTTGACAGATGATTAGGTGAATCAGCGGTTGATTAAGAGTTTTATATGTACATTATATAATGTGTGTGTTCATACATAAACGCACGTATTATGTAAGGGAATTAATAAGTTTTAGCTGCATTATGGTATACAAGAGTGTGTTATATTGATGAATGGATCAATAAGTAAAAATGAATTTTAAATTATTTTAAATTTGTTAACAGCAATAAAAGCCAAAAATAATGGTTGATTTTTAATTCCGTTCTTTTTTTTTGTTATACATTTTTATACAATAGAGAAATTAATTGAATTTTAAATAGAATTTCACAGAAAAAAAATTATTTGTCATTTTTTTTTTTTTTTGATATAATGGAAAATTCGCTCAAGTAATTAGCAATTAATCAAGCTTAAAAATGGTTAAAATACAAATAAACTCAATGTTATTGAATTGAAATTAAATTAATTTTTTGTCTCTTTTTAACTCACACAATATATACTTACAATAAATATATGTATAATGAATATAATAGTATAGTGGTATACATACAAATTTATTATTGATATTTAAATTTTATTAGTAGGTCAAAAATTTTAATTTCCAATTTAAATTCAAAGAATAAAAGAATTTATAAGCGTTTATAATCGAAAAAATAAAAATAATGAAATTGAAAATTAAAATTTAAAATGCTTCAATTATTCGTGTGTGTGTGTGTGTTTTTTGTGAATTTTAATATTGTGATTTTTACCTAGTTATTTTTGACACAAACAATGTAGGCTCACTATACTTTTTGAATTAAAATTATAAAATTTATATAGAAAAGTGATTTTAAGAAGGACGAATTATGTAAAGTAATTTTGTATTAATTGAATTTTTGTTTTATAATAGAAATATTATTAATATTTTGATTATAAACGAAAAGTTTTCTTTTAATTTACTTAATTTTATTAAAAATTCTATTTAATTTTTATATTTTTTAATAAGGTTTAATTTCATAAAGAAAACAATTTTAAATATTTCACTTGAGTAAATATTTGGATGTTTAGAAAATGACAACTAACACCGTTTTATGTTTGCCAAGTCTTTTTACTGGTCTCTTCCTACTCGTCTTGCTGGTCATAGCAATTTTTGAAAATCGGTTATCACCCATTCTATTGACGTAATCTCTCCAATATCGCCATCTATTGAGGGTCCAGCGGACGATGTCTTTTGAGTGTTACATTTTTCTCATAATGTAGGTACTGTGTTTTTTGTCTCTTAGTGTGTACCCACACATCCGCTTTACTGTTTTCATTTCGGTTCTTCACAATAATTGTTTGGTTTTGGACTTGTCAGAACTTATTCCGACGACATATGCCCATATAGAGCGTAGATACGCATTTTATTTTCCAGCTAAATATATCTATTACTCCATATTACATCACGTAAGTATCCTAACATTGCAACGCCTGTACTGGCTTGTTCCCTCACTTTTCTATTTGAATCCCGTTCTCTAGTCACTTCAACTCCTAAATAATTGAAGGTCATTACCTGTTCAATTAAAGGCGTTTTCTATCGTCAACTTAAAACGGAGTGGTTCATTCGAGGTGTTTTGTCTTCGATGCTGATATTTTCATATGGTAGTGCTCTGCAGTATTTTTAAATGTGTATAACAGCACCTGTAAATCATCTTCATTTTCAGATAATAAGACAGCGTAGCATACAATACTAATATCTTTGCTTATGTCCTCTTCCACTGTTGACAACATTATTTTCTAATTCCTTGCCTTATGCGAATTAATATTGGAACTTCTTTAGACAGTTTTTAATTCACCTTGATTTTGATTTTGTTATTGGTGTTAATATCTTGGATTAGTCCGATGATGTTATTTTTTATGTTCTTGTAGTATTCGTACTACATTCTTGAGTCTGACTCTATCAAAGGCTTGTCTAAAATCTATGAAACACATTATCATGGGTTTAGTAAACTCGACTAATTTTTTAACAAGTTGACGTAAAACAAAGAATGTGTCTTTCTTATTCTTAAATGAAGTCACATTGCAACATGCGAATCTTAAAGTGTTGTTCTTTTTCCGTGTTCGTTTCTGTTGTCTTGCCGAATCGTTACCGTTGTTTCCATCAATCTTTTCATCCAAAACTGTTTTTATACCCGTACGAACGTATGTTCGAAGGGTATACTAAATTTGCCTTACCGTTTGTAACGCTAAGAAATAACGGTGTTAGATATAGACTCAAGTGTATGTTTTTGATCAGCGTCAAATTCTGAGTTGATTTAGCTTTGTCTGTCCGTCCGTCCGTCCGTCCGAACGATAACTCAAAAAATAATTGAGCTAAGTTCACTAAATTTTCACAAATGATTTATTGTTGTAAGTGCCAGAACCTTATTTAAATTGGACATGATCGGGGTAGCCGTTCGGGTACCTGCCATACAACTTCAAAAGTTATTTAGCTATATCTCAGAAACTATAAAAGCTGTGATATTGAGATTTCACACAAACGAATATATTAGTAGGGCCTTTGTGCTTGATTAAATTCGCTAAAATTTCTTGGCTCTTTCTGGTAGCTGCCATACAACATCAATAGTAGTTTGGCACAACTAGTATTTTGAATAACACATAGAACTGAAATTTTGCATAAATTAATATGGTAATACGGCAACTTAAAGTCATAGTCTGCCCCATAGTTAGTTATGGCACATTAGTTATTCGCACATAGGATAACAAATTTGTACGGGTATCACAGAGTTGACAAGGTCAACTCTATTTTTTTTCTCGTTTTCAATCTATTTTATGTCTTGGGCAATTTGCTAGGCCTAGAATATAAAGCATGCCTTGGCATGAGTATAAAAGGTCAGCGCTTACCTTATTGAATCGTACCTACCACCATCTCAGGTTTTTGTTCAATAAAAATGGAAACGTCAATCAAGTGAATTATTTCGTTTAATAGCTTTTTGATTTAATTTTTGAAGCAAAAATTGTTTTATTCAACCATAAAATCTGTGATATTATTAATACAGTGGGAAGAAATGGGTTAATAGTATGAGTGAAATAAAACAAGTCGTTACTTAAGTTTGTTTTTGTCTTAAATAGTCTCTGTAGGTGAATAACAAATATGGAATGAAAAAGTAATAAAGCTAATAATCTTTCGGTTTTTTCTCATAAAGTGTTTAATTGTAAAAATTCCTAAAAATTAAAAGAATCAATACGTCTAAGCTGACATTTTCCATCAAAGAAGAAAAATTTATGCATAATTTGTATGACTTTCGTAGTAATTGCAAAAAACAACTGGTAGAGGTCTTGTACACTAGCATTGCATAGGAGAAAACCATCTTTATTTAAAGAATCAAGTTTCCTACAAAACCTAAAAAAAAACTTTAATCTCAAACTTCTTTATGTAATTTAAAAGTTAACATTTTTCGGTTAACCATTAGTTAATAGAATTTAAAATGAAAAGAAGAAAAGGACATTTTTTCTTTCGTTCCTTAGCTGAACATCCTTTTAAGTACCTAAAAAAAATATGGAATTTCCTTTTTTTTTTGTTACTTAAATATAATGAGGTCATGATAAGCTCCTACAGAGGTTTTTTTTCAAAAAAATTAAAATTTATTTTTTTTATGAGTGGATAAGTTTCCTTGACTACAAGTAAAAGATTGGACTTTAAAAATTGTTGGGGCTAACTCTAGAAAGTTTAAAAAAAAAAATTAAGTAGTTTCAATAAAATTTAACTTTTTCTCTACCAATTTTTTTTTTGAATGTCCTACAAAGGATTAAAAGAGGATCAGAAATAATAGAAAAAAAAAATTTTTTTTCTTCTCTATGAAATGCAAATAAAAACGATTCATTAATGAAGTAATTCGTAAAATAAAGGAAGAGCATGAGACTTGCAATAGCCTTGAGAAAAATTTAAACTAAAAGATTTCTTGAATTAATTACTAATGATAAAAAATAGAATTTATTTTCTGCTAACACATGAAAATTTAAATCCTTTTTCTGAATTTTTCTAATTAAATAATATCAAAAACCATGAAAAATATTTTTTTTTTTAGTTTTAAGGTATGGATTAAAGTTAGTAAGTATAAGCAGTTGTTATAGAAGAACTCTACTAATTCAAATTTGGAATATTGGAAAATTTAAATGTAAGATCTATTTCCCTGTTCTATTTTCACAAGAAGGGAGAAAGCAAGAATATTTGTTGGATAATTGCTCAAAATGATTAATTACGTTAAAAAATTATTATTTGAGTTATTGTTTAAACTTGTGAGCTTTAATGTAGCAAATATCCAGAAAATATCAGAAATCTTGAATGTTCGATTGAGAATATTTCGTGATCATGTGGCCGATTATTGGCAAAATGAGCAATTGACTCAGGGTACTGCATATTAATAGATTGCTTGTTAATAGAAGGGTTCTCTTTTATGGCTAAACCTGATAGAAGACCGTACTTAATATTGAAAATATGAAATTTAGCATTTGGTTACTAAGTTTAGTGTTTACTACTTAGCATTTATAATGTGGGTAAATTTTCATTCACATTTCATTAAGAGTTGAATTAATGTATCATTGCCTAACAAACGCACTTTTTAGTACTCGTATATTTAGCTCAATAGATCCAAAGGAATCTATGTAAAAAAGCTGTTTGCTCTACAGTAAAAAATCTAGCTATAATTTTGCTTTTTAACAAATTTAATATCCATTATCTTTACCCAATTTGCCCTATTTGCTTGTATTGATTTTTAATATCCTCCTAACGGTATGCAATAGTTTGAGATATTGTTATAATAAAAACTTCAATTATTATTCTTCTTTATACACACTATTGATTTGACCAGCCTTTGTTTTAATTTAATTTTCATTATTTTACATTAAAGTCCTTAAATATTTTAATTATTACTTTAATTCATTTACTTAAGTATTTAATTAAAAAATTTTCAACTTGTCACATGGATCTTATATTTCAAACGAAACAGAATATGATAGTATAACAGATTTTATCATTACACTTAAATAATTTCAAATATACAGAGGAGGTTTGCATTCTTCATTTTGAAAAATCTTCTTTTTTACCTTCATTTCATTCTAATATAAGATTTTATTGTTATTTGCAAAAGGATATTTGAAAGATAAAACTTTTCGTTTATATTAAATGAAAAGTTCTTAGACATTCTAAGAATTTTCAAAATTCAACTTTTTGCTTTGTTTATTTTAATTCTGAAAATTTTGATTTCTCAAATACGCTCCTAAAATAGGAAGTGTGCAATTACAAACGTATATGGATTCAATTTTCCGTACAATAAAGTTTTTCCGAAATGTAATCAGACATCAATGTTCTCGGGTTTCAAATAATAAGAATATACTGACTGACTATATCGAATTAATTTCGGAAAAAAGGCTGCATTAAAAAAATATTAATAAATTTAAAAATTTCAAAATAATTATAGGCAACCAAGAATTTTGATCTACTTCAAAAAATTATAGGGATTTCTTGTTGATTTGGCCGTATTTATCGGATATCTGAATTTCAAGTCAACAATTCACGTGTTTATTAATTAAATTAAGCGATCATTAGAGTCTCATTATTAGTGCTGTTGTATTTATTTGATTATTTCTACTTAAAACTATAAGAAAAACTAGATTCGAAACTAAATGACAGAAATATGACATAATCAGATTCAGTGGGACTAAAATCAGAGGCAATTTTTGGGAATGAATTATAATCTCTCTATGCCTTTGTAGACCCATCATTACTATAATTATGTATGTATGTTATCTTCAAGGAAAATATTTAATGGCCACAAGCAAAAGATCAAAGAGAAATTCTTTAGTTTTGAAAGCTTTTAATATATGTGTCCTTTTTACATGTATAACAGTAATATGTCCGACTATAAATATTATGGCAAATAAGGAATTTTTGTTGAATATTTATTATTGTTCTTATTACTATTTTAAGGTTTATCTAATCTTATTTCTTCCTGTCTGTAATGCTTTTTGATTTTTTGGTCAAAAAACCAAACCACCTTTGTCTGATAACAATAAAAGTATGTTTAGTATGAGAGAAATTCTTTTACATCAACATTATTACCATTATTTTTGTATAGTAAAGTCAAAATTTTGAAAATATTTCAAATATTTTATATTGTTTTATAAATAGTAACAAAATAATAATCCTTGTTAGAATGATGATCTTTCAAAATTTGAGTAAATTTTTAATACATGCCAAGACTACGTATATACACAAGACTACACAAGATTATAAATTTTATTTAAAAAATTAAATTTCAATTATTCTACATATTTTTAAAATGACAGAAAAATTCTAATTTAGTTTCACAATTTTGCAAATAAGTTTTGGAAAAAATTTTTTAAAGTTCTTAAAAAAGACTGAAATTTCTTATACAAAATCATTAAATTACGATTGTTCACAATCACAATCTTCGAAATCGACCCACAATTTCAATATTGTCCTTAAAAAAAGTCTTTAAATCAACAGTAACTATTGAGACACTTTAAAAATTGATATGAACTCTAGTT